TCAGCTGATTTGTAATCTTAATTACATCTGCAAAGTCCCTTTTTCCACGTAACATAGCGTATTCACGAATGGAAGACCAAGGGGCAGAGTTCATGGGGGCCAAAATTCTGCCTTCTGCACCCAGCCTGGTGAAAACGGAGTCTGAGAAACATTTTATGAACATTGGAAAATTCTTCCAGCTCAAATACTGCTTGTCAAATATTGTCCGGTTTTTAAGTTGACATATTCTGAAGTCGACTATTTGTGAGCCAGGACATCATAGTTAATACAGAATCTTGCACGGACTAGGTACCGGGGAAATGTTTGCCAAGCAAACAAGTATTAATTAGTTCATTGTTGCTAATATTATTTTAATGCAACTTTGATGATGAATCTTGTGGTTCTGTATTATCACTGTCATTAGTACAGATTAGGAAACAAGCTAAAATCATTACCAGGTTGTATAAAAACAGGAAATGGTTCAGTAAATCGTGATAGAAACAATTAAAACCGGAACTTCTCTGTCGCAGCGGCTTGGGTTCTGCTGAGGGTGGGAAGTGTTGCTTCCCATCAAGGAACGGGGACAGCGAATAGAGGGCCTCAAGAAGCAGTCACGTACTCTTTCCTTCTCCCTCCTCTCTCCCTTCCCACGTTTCTCTTCTTCTCTCTTTCTTTCTTGGCAAAAAAGTAACTTGGCCAATTTAAAAATTAAATTACAATTTAGAAATGGAATTCTTGACGCGCTCTAGGGCAGCGGTTCTCAACCTGTGGGTTGCGCCCCTTTGGGGGTCGAACGACCCTTTCACAGGGGTCGCCTAAGACATAACAGTAGCAAAGTTACAGTTATGAAGTAGCAACGAAAATAATGTTCTGGTTGGGGTCAGCACAACACGAGGAACTGTAGTGGAGGGCCGCGGCATCAGGGAGGCTGAGGACCTCTGCTCTGGGCTCCCATCCCAACTCCCTAGCCTGGCACCAGAGCCGCCGGGAGCCTTAGCCCAGGAACTGCCCTCATCCCTCGTCTCCAGCACTCTGCCCCCGAGCCCTGCCTGTTGCGGCGTGAGCCTATCACGGCGCTGCCTGTTACAGCGTGAGCCCATCACGGCGCTGCCTGTGCCCAGCACCGAGCACTGTGCCCCGTGGGCTCCCCGAGGCCAGGAACCACAGCAAACTCGTCCATGAGCCTCAGCCCTGAGTCTCCCAAATAAACAAGGAAAGGGCAGCCCACTGTCATCCCATGTTATGGTCTGGTCGCTTAAAGGAAGGGGGGGGGGCAGAAAGAAAGAGGTGACAGAGAAGGAAGAGAAGGACAGAAATCAGGAGAGACGTGGCCGTGGAAAGAGGGAGAAACTAGATACAGGGAGAACGTCACGGTGCTCCTTTGGGCATTCAGTAGATTCTTCTTTTTATTTATTTAAATTTTTTTTTATCCTCACCTGAGGACATTTTTTTTTTGCATTTATCTTCAAATAGAGCAGGAGGGATAGAGGGAGGAAGAGAGAGAGAAACATCGATGTGAAAGAGACACATCGAGTGGCTGCCACCGGCACGACCAACCAGGGCCGGGGACAAACTGCAACCGAGGTACGTGCCCTTAGCGGGAACCGAACCCGGGACTCTGGTCGGGAGCGGAAGCGCCAACCGCCGAACCAAACCAGCCAGGGCTAGATTCTTTTGTTCATTTTTATTTTGTATGTTTTTTTTTCCATTTTTATTAGTTTGTTTTTAAAAGATGTTTCTCCTTTTCCCCCCCTAGACACCCTCCTCCCTATCCCGTTCCACACCCCCACCCCCACCCCAGCATTGTTGTCTGTGTCCATTGGTTACATATACATGCATGTAAGTTCTTTGGTTTATCTCATCCATTCCCCAGCCCCCCTCCTCTGAGGTCTGTCAGTTTGGACTGTACTCCTTTCTATTACTAAGTCCTGGCCAAGGCCCTTGTTCAAGCTCTGGAGAGACTGCAGTAAAAACAATAATAAACATCCTTGCCCTCAGGAGCCTTGCATTGTAGTTGAGAGGTCAGCCAATATACAGGCAAACCAAAAAATAGAAAAGATTTCAGATACTTTTAGGAAGTATGTTAGGGCAATAAATAGGGCAGCCTGTTAGTGAGTGACTGGGAGTAGGGACCATTTGGGGAATTGGGGATAGTAACAACTTCTCTGAGAGGGTAACAGCTACACTGAGACCTGAGTGATAAAAAGCAGTGAGCCATGTTGAGAACAAAGTGAATATTATTTCTGAAGTAAACAGCAAGTGCAAAGGCCCAGGGGCAGGAAGGAAATTGCTTTCAATTTCAAGGAACAAAAATGAGGCTGGTGAGGCTGAACTGGGTGAGCAAGGGGGAGAGTGGAGGGAAATCAGATCTGAGTGAGAGATAGGGCTGGATCTTGTGGATTCTTGGATCCATCATGATAAGGAGCGTTAAGAATGCCATACCAGCCCTGGCCAGTTTGGCTCAGCGGTTGGAGCGTCAGCCTGCGGTACAGAGAGACCCGGGTTCGGTTCCCGCTAAGGGCACGTGCCTTGGTTGCAGTTTGTCCCCGGCCCTGGTTGGTCGTGCGGGTGGCAGCCACTCGATGTGTCCCTTTCACATCGATGTTTCTCTCTCTCTCTCTTCCTCTCTCTCCCTCCCGCTCTATCTGAACAAAAAATGGAAAAATGTCCTCGGGTGAGGATGAAAAAAAAGAATGCCATACCAGCCCTGGCCGGTTTGGCTCAGCGATTGGAGCGTTGGCCTGCAGTACAGAGAGACCCGGGTTCGGTTCCCGCTAAGGGCACGTGCCTCAGTTGCAGTTTGTCCCCGGCCCTGGTTGGTCGTGCGGGTGGCAGCCACTCGATGTGTCCCTTTCACATCGATGTTTCTCTCTCTCTCTTCCTCTCTCTCCCTCCCGCTCTATCTGAACAAAAAATGGAAAAATGTCCTTGGGTGAGGATAAAAAAAAAGAATGCCATACCAGAACTTGTAGATAATACAAAGTAGATATTATATAGATAGCCTAACATTTAGTGCATTCTTCTTTTTTTTTTTTTAAATCCTCACCCGAGGACATTTTTGCATTTATCTTCAGGTAGAGCAAGAGGGAGAGAGGGAGGAAGAGAGAGAAACATCAATGTGAGTGATGCACATCGACTCTTTGCCACCCACACGACCCCAACCAGGGCTGGGGACAAACTGCAACCGAGGTACATGCCCTTAGCAGGAACTGAACCCAGGACTCTCTGGTCTGCGGGCCGACGCTCTAACCGCTGAGCCAAACCGGCCAGGGCATTAGTGCATTTTTCAACAGCCCTGGTCATCTGACAGGGGGAATTTAAAGCCCAGACATCTTAAAATTCTCTAAAACTGGTAAAACGTGCCAGTTTTCAATTATTTTCTTTTCTGTCCCTAAAGCTTATGGTTTTATTGCCGTGTATGACATGAACCCGTTTTGTATCTAATTTAGCAATCTTATTTATTTTTCTATTCACTGTAAAAATCACTGTCTCTTAAATTTTCTTTTGAATCCACTTTGTCACCCTGCAGCTACACTTATTCACGAGTTAAATAAAAGGGTGACATGTACCCACTATTGATTTTCATAAGAATGATGTTTTTAACCTTTTGAGAATTATATTCTCATAAGAGTTGGGGTTTTAAGTGCCAGGAAAACAGAAGCGTAAGGGGAATTAATTTATGTTTCACAAAGGACCCCAGACTGCCAGGTGGTGAATGGGCTTCGTTGGGCCCCGGGGGGGGGGGGGGACAAGAGCCCAGTCAGGGGCCAGAATCTGTCCGGGGAAGAGATGACCATGCGGCTTGTTGACAGAGGTGGGACGTGAGCCGTACTGACTGCTAACGCTCGTGGACTCTGGTCCTCGTTCGCTCCCGTGGTAGACTCCGGGGTCTCTGTCGTGGTCCGTCTGCCGTTCTCCTGTGTGAGGTCCTTGGCAGGGCTGCGTCCGACTTTTGTCTCCTGAGAGTCCAGCCCTGGGCTGAACACAAGTGTTTGCTGAACGAACTCTTCTCTCTAGATTCATCTCCTTGTCTTCCTCCTCCCCCTCCTTCTTCTTCTTTTTTTTTATTATGATCAAATATACATGACATAAAATATGCCATCCTAACCTTTTTTAGGTGGACATCCAGTTCAGAGGCCTGAGGACATTCACATCGTTGCACTACCATCACTACCATCCATCTCCGAATGTTTCCATCCCCCAAACTGAAACTGTACCCTGTAAACACGGACCCCCTCCCCTCTCTCCCAGCCCCTGGTACCCACCACTCTCCTTTCTGTCTGTGAAACTGACTCCTCTAGGTGCCTCATATAAGTGGAGTCTTCTTGTGTTTGTCCTTTTGCATCCGGCTTATTTCACTTAGCGTGTCTTTGAGGTCCACCCATGTTGTAGCATGTATTGGACTTTCCTTGATGTTTAAGGCTAAATAGTAGTTCATTGTATGTATATACTGCAATTTGTTTACCCACTTATGTTGATGGACATTTCGATTGTTTCCACCTTTTGGCCACTGTGACTAATACTACTGTGGACACGCATGTACAAATATGTGTTGGAGTTCTTGCTTTCAGTTCTTGGGGGCGAGTACCAAGAGGTGGAACGCTTGATCATGCAGTCATTCTGCTAACTGTGTGGGGAACCGCCGTCCTGTGTTCTGAAGCAGCTGCCCCGTTTTACATTTGCACCAGCAATGCCCAGGGGTTCCAGTCTCTCCACATCCTCGCCAACATTGGCTATTTTCTGCTTTTTTGATAATAACCATCCTAAATATAAAAGACCGTGGTAGGGGGAGACCCCACTGGGAGGCACTGGGAGCCAGGATGGGGGCATCAAGATCATGCTTCAGGGAGCTCACAGCACAGACTCAGGGCTGGCTCAGAGCGAGACCCCGCCGATGGGAGAACTAAACCCAGAAGGTCTCCCATGAGGCACATTTGTTTGTGTGAATCCACCATTGGTCTCTTGCCCCTGGGGAAAGCTGTTTCTAATTTGGATTTCTTTTTCTGTGTGTTGCTCCCCAGTGTGATAATGCGAAAGGATTGAAAGCCTTCTACGATGCAATAAAATACGGGCCGAACCATTTGATGGTGTTTGGAGGTGTCTGTCCATCCGTGACATCCATCATCGCAGAGTCCCTCCAAGGCTGGAATCTGGTGCAGGTAAGGTCCCGCCCCCTTCGGTTGGGGGGCTGTCCTGATTGGCCACCAGTCTTTTGCAGAAACATTTCCTTGCCCAACATGGTTTCTAAGTCGCCTGGTTTAGGCCCTGGCCCACCCTTTCCTGGTGATTACACAGCCTCCATAGGCCCACCTTCTGGCCTGACCTTCTGGCCCCTTCTGGCCACCAGTGGGTCTCTAAAGGGCAGCCCTAACACCACCTCTGTGCATTTGAAATCTTTCAGTGACCCCCTAGCCTGTCTCAGGGCCATCAGCCCAGTCTGTCTGTCCAGTGTCATCTTCTGTCCCTGTCTCATGTTCCATGCCTCAGCCCCTCCAGACTACCCACCTTGCCCCCAGATGCACCCTGGACCTTCAGGCCCCAGAGCCCTGCTCTCTCTTTTCCCTTAACCAGATGGCTCTTAACCAAACCTCCCACCCCCACTGAAATTCTCTTGTCTACTAAGCCTGCCTTTCTCCCCAGTTAAGCCTTTCCTGGGGCTGCTGGCCAATTATTTGCTCTTTACACTGGCAACTGTTATGCAGTGTCGGAAGTTCCACCAGTGACTGTGTGGTCTGTGGCAGGCAAAGCTCGGCGGTGCTGGCTGCTGTTTGCAGCGCGAGAGGGAAAGCGTGGAAGGACGTGAGCGCTGGGGATGAGCGGTCGCCGTGCACATGCTGTACTGCTTTGCTCCATCCATCACCCATCTATCACCCACCCATCCATCTGTTCGTCCTCCCATCATCCATTACCCACATCATCCATCCATCCTTCCTGCAAATAGAAAGGTCTGCCTACTGCGTGCCTAGAATTTTGGTAGACGTTTGGGATATAGTGCTAAACAGGACAGACATGGCCTAACCCTTTTAGAGCCTACATTCTAGGAGGGAGGCAGGCAGTAAGCAAATGAATCGTTAAGTAATGATACTAAGAGCTAACACTTGCCTAATACATATGTCACGCTTACTACATACCTGGCACTGTTCTGAGCACTTACATACAGTAACTCATTTAATCCTGATCACTGTTCCATGCTGTAGGTACGGTTACCCCCATGTCATAGGTAAGGAAGCTGAAGTACACAAAAGCTCATAACTTGTCCAAAAACCCACAGCTCATAAGTGATAGAGCCGTGATTCAACGTAGACAGCCTGGCCCTTGAGGTGAGACTCGTAAGGAAACTGGGCTGTGATAGAAATAAACGGGGTGAGGGGGTATAGAGACGGCTTCGTGGAGCAGGTGACATTGGAGCGGAGACCTGAAGGGGGAGAAGGCACTGGTCGGGTGAAGAGCACCCATTGTTATGGATGGAGCAGCTAATGTAGTGCCTGTGATGAGGAAGAAACTGGCATGTTCAGGGAACAGAAGGGGGACAGGGGGCTGGAGCACGGTGGGCGGTTGTCAGGGTGGGGAGAGTGGGAATGGGGCATCTGGTTTCCCTCTGCTTGCTCGAACTGACCGAGGGCCTCTCGGGACCTGGCCCTGCGTGCCTGGGTGCTGGGGGGACCGGGGAGGGAGGAGCCAGCCCAGCAGAGGTGTGGTGAGGGAAGGCGAGGTCCCAGGGAAGGGCCACCCACTCATCCCAGGGACGAGGAAGGCTTCTGAGAGAAGTGACGCTGAGCTGGCTGCGAAGGAGGAGAGGGCGTTGGACAGCTGGGGATGTGGAGGAGAGGCTGCTGGCAGAGGACACCGCGTGTGCAAAGCGGGAGGTGGGAGTGTGTGGGCTTGGGCAGCAGTGAGTCACGCTGGTGGCCGGAGCAGGCCACGCTGAACGCGGGCGGATGCAACAAGAGATGAGGCCTGAGAACAGCTCTGCAGGTGATGGTGCAAACAACCGCATCACCGGAGCCTGCACAGCTCAGCGGGCCCTGGAGCCTGGCTTCTGGCCCTGTGGTGCCTCTGGGCAGCCATGAGACCCTGGTCAAGTCACTTCCCTTCTCTGTACTTGGGCTTCCTTTCCTGGATGCCAGGGGGCTCACTACACACCCTGCATGTCACTCTGAGCCTCAGTCTCTCGTCGGCAGTCAGGGTAGTAGAAGACAGGGTAGTAGAAGATTGTCACCCCTTCCCGTCGCTCCCCGCAGGCTGACACCCGATTCTTAGCTCTCCTGTTCTTTCCTACAGCACTGCTCCCACTGCCTGAGACACCCTTTCTCCCCATGGCCACTGTCAGACCTTCCCGTTCTTAGACACCCAGCTTAAAATGCCACCTCTGCCAGGAAGCCTTCCTCACTGCACTATCTAACATTGCCCTTCTAGAAAATTTTTTTTCTCTCTTCCCAGTTTACTTCTAGCAAGCATACCCCCCCCCATGCTTCTCTGCCTCTCCCCCTTTTAAAGGCTCCACAGTTGTGAGGACATGTTTAGCTGGGCAGTGAGCTCCTTGAAGATGGAACCTGGGCCTGAGTTACTGCTGTTCCTTCTGGGGCCTAACACTTCACAGACCTTATTAGATGCCCGCTGAATGGTCAGAGGGCGGAAGGAAGGAGGAAGGGATGGCTGGACAAAGGACCAGCGGGTAGACATTTTCCCCAGAGGAGAGATCAAGCTGTCTGGGAGATCCTCACCCAGGGAAGAATCCAGGGAGGTTCCTGGCCCTCTCACAGCCTCACCGGGACTGTCTGGAATTCCCCAAGTTGCTGCAAAAGCAGGCACAGTGTTGGAGATGCCTGGCTTACCAGCCAGGGCTACCTGACCTCGGCATGAACAAGACAGCCTCTAGCCTGGAGGAGTCGACAAGGTAGGGAACCAGGTTATGAGATGGAGGTCGTCTTAGTTATTTATTGCTGTGTAACTGATCGCCCCCAAACCTGATGGTTGAAACAGCAATAATCATTTTCTAGTTTATAATTTCTGTGGGTCAGGAACTCAGACCCACACACTGACTTGTGTCTGCTTCCTGATGCTCGGGTTCCAGTTGGAAGGTCTGAAGGCTGGGAGCTGCCATCATTGAAGGTTTTGCTGGGGCTGGAGGACCGGCTCCCAATGTAGCTCCCTCACATGGCTGACAAGTTGGTGCGTCTCCATGTGGGTCTCTCCACAGGGCTGCTTGAGTGTCTTCCCCCAAAGCAAGTTCAAAGCAGAGGTGGCAGAGTCTTTCAGTACCCAGCTTCAGAAATTGCCTGTCATCATTTCTGTCATATCCTACTGATTATGCGAATTAGCTCTTATTTGGGGGGGGGGGGGGGGCGAGTACTACACAAGCTATAGTGGGAGGTGAAGATCACTAGGGATCATCTTGGAGGCTAATATCTGAGAGCAAGGCAGGTGCTCAGGTTGCCCAACAAGGGAGACTTGATGCTGAGTCCCCGTTCTGCTTTGCAGAACTCCTGCTCATCCGTCAAAACCCTGGATGGATACCACCTCCTCTGTGATGCCTTCCTTGATCCCTTTCCTTCTGTGCCTCCCATCCCCAGCCTCCAAAGTGAATTAATTGTTCCTTCCTAAACAATTCCCTTTCCATCTACCCCAAGGGGGAGAAAATTGGTTCTTGTGGGGAGGGAGCAAAAATATCTCACTCTTTTTATGTATGAAGCACAGGACATACATTACATACACAGGTGTATGGTCTGTCTGTGATATTCAGATTTGAAGAGTGGGGCAGGATTAGGAAAAATCACTCTTCTGGGAGAGTGAGCACGATAGTGAGAAGAAGCCAGAGAAACTTAGTTCTGCATTGCTTCTATATTGCATTTTGTGGAAAACAGTTTATTCTACTGCCAGTCTTCCCTATTAGGATGTAAGCTTCTTGGGGGTAGGGACTGCGTTCTCTTCGCCTCCCAGTTGCCGGCACCTAGCACAGGCCCAGCACAGAGGAGATCCTCACCGGTGCAGGACTAGGCGCTGGGAAGAGACGGGAGCCTGGGACCCTCCGCTGCAGTTTCTCAGAGCGAGGACCTGATCATGGGGAGGTGGGGGGCTTGGGAGGAAATGCAGATTCTCAGCCACCTCAACAGAATCCCTCTGCATGTCGACGGGCTCCTGGGGTGACTCTCATGCTCAGGCTGCCACTGCACTAGGCATCTGCTGACAGACACAGGGGCAGAGCAAGGGCTGTCGTGGATGGGGACCCTGAGGGGCCGAGAACTGGAGGGCGCCCCACAGTTGGAGAGCAGAATCGCAGGATGAGCTCCTAGGCAAGGGGGATGTAGCAACAAAGATCTGGATCCTGATGGGGAGTAGCCTTGGAACCTGATTCTGCTTCCCCATTCTCAAGGAACACGGCCCCATGTGTCACGGGCCAGACTCTGGGGAACCCCCACCCCTCCCCACCTCCAGGAGGCTGAGCTTGCTTGCAGAGGTGGTAGAGGGCTGGGTGATGGGTCTGCTGTCATTCACAGGGTTTGATGAATCCCTTAACTTACTCAAAACTGGGCTCCGAAACGGAGTTTCACAAATGGGAAAATGCATGTAATTTGTGTAATTGAGAAGTAGCTCTGACTTCCCTTTAGGGGAGGTGGCCTGGAATACGTGATCAGTTGTTTCAGCTTCCTGGTGCTACAGAAATAGGGACGCGCAACAGAAGGGTGACATGCACCCTGGTGCTGAAATTGGTTAAATTTAACTTGCTTTTGCCGGCTTTTTGATGCATGGTTGCTGCGTTGAGAGGCTAATATTGTTTAAATTGTGACGTGAGTCCCTTAGCCACTGGACGTGTCAGCTCCTCCAGCTAAAGTCGAGGACCTTCACGGAGGCCAGGGTCTGCATGCGGGCTGTCCCTCTCCCATCTCTCTGACCTTGCCCAGGGTGGGGCTCAGGCCGGGGCATAGCCTGGGAGTCATCTGGGAAGGTCCAGGGTCTAGCCACTGGGGACTAAGCACGTTCAGACTGGAGAACACACAGGGTGCGGGGGAGGAGGGCGAGTCTCGGCCCCCAGAGCTGCATGGCTCTTTGACAGATTTTGCTGCTTGTCTGGGATGTCGGTGGGAAGAAGCAAGAGCAACGGGTGAAGTCAGAGGGAGCAGGGTTTGCGCTTGTGGCTGGAGGCATCGAGCATGGAGCA